AATATATGTGTGTGTATATATATATATATATAATATTTAATTAAACAGTGGATCTTCTTGGTTTGCCACAAGATCTTTGGCTCAGGTGATTATTAATCATGCCTGCCTTATACTATTTGCTTTACTTTTTCTTTAATTATTAATTATTAGTGCCATCATCTTTTTAATCCCAACTATTCATCACATTGCATTGCCTTATACTTCATAATTACCCCCTAAATTATGTTACCTTTAATTATATTCAGGGATATTAATACATATAACCATATTCCATTATATTTTTTTGAATTAAGAAAACTTCAAAGCCATTTCACAAGACCACCACAAACTAGAGGTGTAAGCGAGTTGATTGAGTCGAGTAGCAAGGTATTCGAGATTGATTCAAATATGTTTTTTGAATGTTCGAGTTCGAGTTTGATGTTCGGTTAACAAATTTGAACGTACATTCTACTAAAATTTCAAGCTTTTATAAGCTTGTGTTACTGGCTTGAACTCGAGATCGATTAACTCTTTTATTGGTTTGAGCCTGATAATATTTTTATTTTTGTTTGGATGATTTATGAACACGTTTTGCTCAAAAAAGTGTGTGGATAGCTGTTGAACAAGCCAACAAACATGGGTGTTAAGTTTGAGTCGTTAAAGTAAACAATTTTGTGTTTGATATCCTTTTGAGTTTGAGAGTTATTAAGCTCTAGGTCAAGCATCTAACATTCCTTTTAGGTTTTTAAAAGTTTTAGAGGCGACAAACGACATTAATGTTATGAAGTTCGATAGGAAAATATGTACAAATTTATATAAGAACTTTGTGATTAAGTACCAATGTAAATCAAAAACCTAAAATTTATTCTGTATCACAGAACTATATTCAAACCCCTAAAATCACAACAGAAAAGAAAAAGATGGAACAGATGCAAATACAAATGAATACAAAAGCAAACCCACCATTGCCTCATAAAAATCACTAACCCCAAACCCCCAACCCAATCAAAATCACCAACAACTTCACCATGCACCAATTTTGAACTCAAAATGTGGAACCAAGCTAGATAATCCTTCGCCACCACACCACCTGTCCATCGTCTTGTGCAAATATATTCTACAAGGATCCAAATTCTCCGCCAAGTTCTTCCATTAAGTGAGTGTGAGTTGAGCATCTTATGAAAACATGTTGTGAGTGGAGTGATAAGAATTACTACAAGTGTTTATCTCTTCTACAGCTTTGCAAATGTGGGTAGCTGTATGCCAAAGTTTTCCCAAAAACATGGCTTACTTGTTTCAACAGTGATGAGGATGGATCCATAGCCATAGGTAGAGAAGGACGACAATCAAGGATCTTATATAAAGGAAATTAAAGGAAAAACATTAATGTTTGTAGAAAGGACTTGAGCAGAATGATTGAAATGGCAGGTTTGATCAAGGGGTGGAGATTGGAGAAGAAATTAAATGATAATAAAATGATGCAATTGCCATTTGCCATTTGCCATTTGCCTCTCGTGTAAGGGCATATTAGGCGCCAAAACAACTGGCCTTAGCATCAGAGACCCACTTCGAAACCACAATGACCATTGGTGTAACTAATGCATTTTTTAAGGACCAAATTTGCAATTCAATATAAAATATAAAAATATATTGAATTGAGAAAGGGTGGGGGTTGTCATTGATTGCCTAACGAGAGGGGTCGCTAACGGTCGGTCGAAGGATTGACGTAAGGAAGGATGAAGGCATGGAGTGAGGTGACAACGGAGAACTGAGTTATCGATGTGGACGAACAAATTAGTCGTTGATAGGAACGACAATCGAGAGGGATGTTGTCGGTGCACGGGTGGGATGAGTAACTTGAATAGTACAACAAGTATCCATGTTTTTGAAAATTAATACCAAACGGAATTTAATCAAGTTTCTATGTTTTGGAAAAACCAACCTTAAACTTTATATATTTTTCATTCAAGAATTATCAAGTTTAAAATTGAATCGAATGATAGTCGTCTTACCCTTTTATCGTGAGATGTTGGCGTAATTGTAAATGGTTTGAAGTTGGATGACTCCGGTTGATATGATGATTATTCAATTTGGTTTTCTATTTGAAACTTCTTATATTTTTTAAAGATTTTCTTATATATTACCGACTTTTATATAAATAAACGTTACTTGAACACATCTAAATCTAATAACGTAAATAAAATATGAATTGACCTAAGCACAAATGAAAAGCTAATCGAATCAAATGGTTAAACCCTAAAAATATATACGTGTGTGTGTGTATATATATAATAAATATAATCAAGTTGTACATTATGCCTTTTAAAGTTTTTAATAATTATAACGAATTCTTTAACTAATTAAATGTTGACTATCGTTGTCAAGGATAGAACCTATTGCATTTAATTAGAATCAAATTAATGACGATATCCATGAAGATGATAGTCAACAACTAAGTGTCTTGTAATAAACTATATATTGATGCATATGTAATAGAAATGACAAATAAATGTGTCAATAACGAGTTAAATTGGGTTTAGGCCAAATCATGTAACGTTTTAATGTGAGTCAAGACAGGTCAGGTTGAGGGATATGTTTTGCCTACAAAGTGTGTTTATTCTAAAACTTTTAATTTGTTTATCATTGGCCATTAGTTTTTTTTATTAACCTGGATATCCAACCCGCTATGCGAGCCGACTAATCCCAAGGCGACCACCTACTTTGCAGATAGCCTGAAGTCACCGCATTTGAACCTCCGTATCCACAAGAGGATTTTTATTCCTTTTTGGATTTGAACCTGAGACCTTCTGGTACTTTTGATCTTTGAAGTCAAGCTCAAACCAATCAGACACCACCCTTATGGTTCATTGGCCATTAGTTCTAGTCTTCTCAAAAATATTAAAGAGACTTTCGATTGCTAACTTCAGCTTAAGACTCCCACAAAATTAATCGGGATGCACACAAACTGTAAAATGACTCGGATACCATCTAGTATCAAAATGTTTGGTCCATTTTTTATTTTGTATTAAAAAATTTGGACACCTCCGTTAACTACAAAAGTTATGAAGATTTTCAACAATAACCTTTATAATTCAAGTAATTTCTTTTTCATATAATAACCAAATATAAAAATATGTCTAGTAAAAAACTTAGGTGGCGTTTGTTTTTTAGAATATGCTGAAATCTGAAGTTTGATTTCACTTATGGTTTATAAGAGGTGGTTATGAAGTCTGAAATCTGGATCAGTAAGATTGTTTGTTTTTACATCTGAATCGATCAAACTAATGCAAAAATATAAAGGATAAATAGTTTTCTTTTACAAAAGTATAAAAAATAAATAATGTTTCCTTACAAATCTCTTCCAGCCTCTAAAATATGAACCATTTGATAGATGGCGGATTAGCATTAAGAGGTATTAAGGGATATGTTTACCACTTAAAAATTCAGAGGACATTTAGAGCTTTTAAGCTTTTATTTTAGAAATAAAACAAACGCTCTTAATACTTAAACAACATCTGAAAGAAACAGACTTCATAAGTATTAAAAGGTAATTTTGAAAAAACAAAGAGATGAGTAGCATGTTTTTCATACTTTCTAGGAATAAAAGGGAAAACAAATAAATCTTTTTCTTCTAAAACTTCCATTCTAAGAGTTTAAACAAATTATAAAGTTATTCATTAATTTAACACTATCAAAACATATCTGAAATATATATATATATATATATTTGTAAAGAAAAATGACATTTTTTCTTTCTTTTTATTTCCGATCCAAGAGCATGAAAATTTGTTTCCTTCTCGTTTACTTTACCTTTCTACCATTTCCTTTTCGAGAACACAAATTGTAAAAACTTTATTTGCTTTTTCATTCTTTTCCCTCTCCTTCCTTTCTTTATCTTTTCCCCAAATTCAAAAACACTATGTATGTATATACATAATACATTCTTATCATATGCATATTCTCTCGCACTTCCCATTTTTAACTGAAATCATCTATTGAAAATTCATGTTTATTATGACTTTTTGAATCGTAAAATTATAACCGACAGAAAAACAAATGATTTATGTTATAATTTTTTTTTATGAGAGCATTGTCAAATTCTTTTACAAGAGTAATGTTGGTGCACGAGATCCGAAAGAAATTTTGTATCCGATCTAAATTTTAAAGCTTATTTTTTGATGCTTTGATATGGGATTTGGTTTTAAGAGGTTGTTTGTTTACCTCTTAATAGTTTCATTAAGAAGCGGTCTCTGAATCGTTAAGAGGTGAATCTTGTTTGACAAAAGAAAAAGTCTGTCTTTTAATGGTTCTAAAACTCTCTGAATGATTTTGTATCATGAGCCTCCCTTAATCATTTAACGCCTTGATTTCAATGTAAACAATTACCAAACAATTATATTTTATTTTTGCACTGTATATGAAAGTCTTTTAATTATTCAATACCAAATCATTCAGCAACTATTAAACCGTCTCTAATTCTCTACCTAGGAACCGTAGGAAGAAGGTGGGGCGATTCAGAGGTGTACGAGGCTGGAGTTTGGTTTTATTTTATTTTTATTATTATTTTAATTGCTTTATATATATTCTATGGTACTTTTTATTAAAAGACATTCAAAATGACAGTAATGCCCTTCTTGAGAGTTGCACATAAAAATGATGGTACTTAACAGATAGATGATTTTACGACCTTAATAGTCAAGGAGAATTCCACAGTAAAAATGAAACCTCGATGATCATTTCTATAATTTTCATAAATTAACAAATCTATTTTTTTTTTATATAATTTATCTTAAAGAAAACCATATGGGTCCACTTCCAAGCCCAAAACCAGGGTGTATGTTATTGAACCCCATGCATGAGCATGATTATACATTGATGCACCCTCCACTGAAGCGTGCGATTCGCACGTACCAAAAACACTCACACCTCCTCCTCTTTTGCACGCGGGGGTCAAGCCACATTCATGTCTATATAGTCTCTCTCACTTTCCATTTCACACACCTTATCCATCACTCTCTTTTCATCTGTCATTTTTGCCTTTCTTCACCAGATTCTTTTCAAGATTAATCGTGTATTTGTGATTTGGGTTTTCAAGATTTCTATTTCTTGTAAGGTAAATTTCTCTCTGGTTTATGGGCCTTGAAAAAAGATTCACCAATTTGGGGATTAGGGTTTAGATTTACCTCAAAAGATCTCTCATTTTTTGTTTTATGGTTAACATTTGCTCTTAATTTGGTTTAAAAGTGGGTTTGAAGATTACTCAATTTGGGAATTGGGTTTCAGACTCACTTTCCTGTTTCTGATGAATGTTAATATTTACTATAATTTGGTCAAAAACTTTCTTTGGGTTTTGAAGATTAATCGATTTGGGAATTAGGTTTCAGATGTGGGTTTTAAATTTCTCTCTCATTTTCAGCTTTCTGATGAAATTTCACTGTGTTTTCCTCTGTATTTTTTTGGTTTCTTCCCAGAATATAAATCAATTTGGGATCTTGATTTCAATTTTCTGAACTTATGTGTGTTGTGTTCTTCATTCTCTCTGATTTCTGGGTATCAGATCTTGTAAAGTTTATTTACTCTCTAATTTCTCTTCTTGGATCAGCATTGTTTGATTGTTTTTCTGTGTTTTAATCTTCATCAGATTGGTTTTCTGGAGGTGTTAATTGATGATTCTTACTTTGTCGTGTGATCTGAAGAAATCAAGAAACAAAAGTGAATTCAATCTTTCAACTACTAAAAAAGTTGAATACTATATGAACCCTAAATGCATGAAATCTGTACTTTATAGATGCTATAAATTCCTGAAGAACAATACAAGTTCTCCTTATTTTCTGTTTGTTGTTTTTATACGGAATCATATATAGAGAGGCTTTGAAACAGACTGAAAACAACAGCAAAGAATGAAAGATTACTCCTCTTATGTTATATGTGCTCCTTTAACTGTTCTTATCTGATGAATGTGTTCTTATTATGTTAATTTACAGTCGGGTTTTCGGTTTTCGAAGATTTCAAGAGTTTAAACACAAGTGTGGCGAGTAAAGCATGCGGTGGTGTAGCTTATCTGTAGACGTTTATCGTAAAGTCATCTCCCTCAATCTCTATTGCCGCGTGATTCTGTAGATTTAAACATTAGAATTCCTGCAAAATTTGTATAACATCTCTCATTAGATATATTAGTTTCGGTATCATTCAAATTCAAACATTTTCCTCCATGGGATCCAATCTTTTTGTTGTCATCCCCTGCTACTGTCGTTGGATTAGTTGAATTTGAATCTCAAAATCGACACACACCCGTTTGTTAATATCGATCAAAATTGGATCGTGTTAGTTTCATCATAGTTTGAGAATGTTGGGATATCGTTCAAAGCACACACCCTTTCTTTAAATTTGATCAAAGTCGAATCTTTTTCGTGTTAATTTCAGTCACTGTTTGAGGATCTTTGTTGGGTTATCGTTCAAATTAACACACACCCGTTCTTGAATATCGATCAATATTTGATCTTTCTCGTTTTAACAAAGTTCATCACCGTTTGAGAATCTTTGTTGGGTTATCGTTCAAATCAATGCACACCTGTTCTTGAATATTGATCAAGTTTGGATCTTTTCGTGTCAAGTTCATCACAGTTTGAGAATCTTTGTTGGGTTATCGTTCAAATCAACATACACCCGTTCTTCAATATTGATCAAGATTTGATCTTTTTCGTGTTAAGNATCAACATACACCCGTTCTTCAATATTGATCAAGATTTGATCTTTTTCGTGTTAAGATCATCACAGTTTGAGAATCTTTGTTGGGTTATCGTTCATATCAACATACACCCGTTCTTCAATATTGATCAAGATTGGATCTTTTTCGTGTTAATTTCATCACAGTTTGAGAATCTTTGTTGGGTTATCGTTCTTGAGATCTCTAAGGGGGTTAAATTCATTCAAAGGTTTGGAAGTAGTAGTTATGGTGTGTCAATCAGCCGGCCAAACAAGATTCCGGGCATTGAAACATGAGAATGGGATCGCAGGGAGTGCCACCATAATCGTTAAAGTTATAGCATGCTTTCAACCTCTCCAAGATTGTCAGGTTCGTTTATGATTCTATTCGGTTTCGAGAATTGATTATGTTTTTTTTAATTGAATCGTACCATTTTAGAAACCATTTGTTGATGAATCTAATCTTGGTTTCTTGTGAATGTTGTTTTCCAGGCTGAATATTTTCGACATTTGCTTAAACCCGTAACGTAGTTCGGTTTTCCTCTTCGTGATCAAGCTGGAATTTGTAGGTTTCGTTGTTTTTGAAGTTTTTTTCAGAATCTTTATATACGCCCACGATATTGTTCATCTTCTGGTGAGTTTCCTGATCTCCGAGTTTGAATCTTTTCGATCCAATTCGTATTCTTATTGTTGTTGTGAAACTTTTCAGGTGAAAATTTGTGATTGAATGGAGAAGGGTTTCGCATCCTGGTTTCAAGACCAACAAATTGATTGGCAGTCGACTATTCCAAATTCGTCGATTGCTCCCTTTGGTTTACGGCACCAACTTAACGTTCCATCTTTCGGGAACACGACTGATGAAAATCCCCCGGTGTTTGCCTTTGCGGAAAGCAAACCAGAAGAACCCTGCGGTTGGTTCCACGGCTTGCCTCGGTGCCATCCGGAGGTCAACCCTATTTTGAAAGAACAACTTCCTGTACCTGGATCTCGCGCTACACACGAGATCCAGAAGAAGTTTCTTGTGTTCGATCAATCAAATGATCGAACGACACTGATTTATAGCTCAGCTCCAATTCAGTACCACCTACCAAAACCACAACTTAACCTCAACCTGACAAAGGAATTTTCGGTTATCGAAAAACACGAGGATATCGGTTGTTCGAATCCGTTTCATGATGACGGAAAAGATGAGGGAAGCGAGATGCACGAGGATACGGACGAGCTTCGGGCATTACTGTATTCCGATGATGATGAGATAGATTATTCCGAGGACGAGGAGGAACAGAGTACCGGGCATTCCCCTAGTACGATGACGGGGTTCGATAGACTGGAATCAACCGATGAAAATGGTGAAGAGGTCACGAGTTCGATGGGTCCTCAGAAACGACATAAACTAGATAGCGGAGGGTATGATGTGGTTGACACTGCAAGCTCGGGGAAATCGGGCATTAATTGCTCCGGTGAAGCGGAGGTGAGTAGCTGCGGCGGTGGAGTGGCGGATGTGGATGTGGGATCGGAAAGTTTTGCGGTGGCTGGAAAGAGATCAAGAAAAGAGAATTTGAGGGAAACGATAAGGATTCTTGAGAATTTGATTCCTGGTGAGAAAAATGGGAAGGATGCCATGATGATTCTTGATGAAGCCATTAATTATCTGAGAATCTTGAAGGTGAAAGCTAAAGCCTTGGGGCTTGATTCTTTCTAGAAGGTAAATCTTTTTTTTTTTTTTTTTCTACATCATGCTTTAGTGACTTGTATATCATGCTTTAAATGACTTGTACATTCATGGAGTGTTTATGGTTTTCATTGATGATGTTTAGAATTCATTGTTTTTTGGTCTGTGGTTTACAATGAATTCACTGATGTTTTTGTACCTCATACTTAGCTTAACGATGAAGTTAGCCTCAGAGATGAAAGCAAGCAATAAGGGTCCTCATGGTTGCATTAAGGACCCAGCAGCCTATGCAACCACAGGGTCGGTTGAATTTTCAAAAAAGGCACAAGGACTGTTAAACATGTAATTTACTCTAGTTTGTTTTTCTTCTTAATTGATAATATAAAAGTTTGAAAATATATGTATGTTTGGTAAAATGGTGATGACAACACATAGAATTGAAGGTTACAAGTTTGATTGCATCAAGTACAAGTTGGGTATTTTTGTTGGAAGATTGATGATGAATGATGAGGGTAAGTAAGAAAGGTACAACCTTTTAATGCATGAAGTACAAGGTGAAAGAAAAGTAGTGTGGGACCCATAAGGTTGCATGCCTCTGGTTGGTGGTGACTCAGATGGGACCCAAACCCAATACTCATTTCAAATCTCCCTGTTTTTGGTTCAAATACAAAGAGGACAATCATGAATGGTGTTGGTGGGGCTTCTCTTTACTGTTGCCTTGTGACCTTTGCTTTGCTTTGCTTTAATGGAGGTGGTGAGAAGGGTATTTTTCGTAATTTCACTTTCGTTGTGTAATTTTGACACGATGTGTTTAAGTAGTATGATGATGGTGGTTGCCTGAACATTGATTTTGTGGTTCAATAAAATAAATAAACCATTAAAGTAAATTTGTTAACCCAACCCAAAAAACTAGATGTTACTGGCTTTCATTTGTATTCTTAAATTCTTCTAAATTTGTACATTAATACGAAAAACATATATATATATATTTATTTACTAAACCTTTGTTATAATAATAGTTAGCATAAACCCAGTAAATGCATTGTCTCATCTCATGTAAGTAAGGTATCCCATAACAACCATTAACACGACATGATGGATGAACAAGATTTAGTCATCTTCATTAACGCTTAATTTTATCCAACATCAACATAGTATTAGTAAGATAAGATAAGATAACCATTTGTGTTATTAATTTGGGTGTTAAAAAAGAAAAGAAAATCTATAACAGAAAGGGTGTTAGTAAAGAGTCATTACTCTAAATTCTATTACTTATTAAGTAATACATATTTTTTTTTATTCCTTTAGGCTTTTGTTATTTTTATCTTTTTGCCTTTGGACATGCCCATCTTCCCCACCTTAACACATCACCGATCCAACAATTTTTTTATACGCTCACATTATGGTCATATTTGTTTTTTTAACAAGTGCTCAACTCTAAACTCTTATACTATTTCTTATTAATAAGAGGTGTTGTTAAAGTCTGAAATCTGAATCAGTAAACTCTTTGTTTTTGTAAACCGACAAACATCTTAAGACTGATAATAGTTTGTTTTTGTAAAATTAGGTGCAAACATTTTGCAAAACTCTCTTAATTTTCATAAAATTTCCATTACCGAAATTCATCTCAACAATTGCTTAATAGATGGAAAATTGTAAGAACTTTTTGGATATCTCTCAGACTTCTGATGCTATCGTGAATGTTGTCTGTGAGTTTGTTTGTGGAAAGATCGATACTTTTCATAGAGGATAGATCGCTGATAGAAGTTTTTGTTTCACATTAATCTTCTAAGATAACCTATACGTACAGAAATTATATATATATATATATATATATATAGAGAGAGAGAGAGAGAGAGAGAGAGAGAGAGAGAGAAGGTAGGGCGTGCATTTCACATGGGGTGGTGAAAGGACGGTGACATCCATGTTGGAGAAAGAAACAATAGCAAAAAAGAATCAAAGAAAAGGGAAAATAAGATGAATTAAGATATTATTAGATTATCTCTTATTTAATCAAACTTTATTAAGTAATAAGAAACTATAAAAATAATTTAAAAAAAAAACAAATATTGTGAATTACAAAACGTTTGAATGAATCAGACATAAGTGGTAATTAAAAGATGAAAATGAAAAAAACAAACAAAGTCTATATAATATAGACAAAAAATAATTACAAAAAACACGGTTTTTATCGACGTGTCTTCATGTTTTTACTAACATTCAATATCACTTAATGTGTTTTTAGCCTAATTCCACTGTTTCGAAGGATTTTTAGATTTTTTTTGCTTGATTTCGAATTTTTTTTTAGTTTTTTTAATCGATTTTCTAGGGTTTTTCAGTTTTTTTAGTTTGTTTCAAGGTTTTTTTGGTTGATAACGAGCTGCACTTTCTTGAACTTCAGAAAATCATACGGTGACGCCTTCTAAAACGATAAAGTTACATTTTTTTTTATAAATGTAAACTTTTTAACCTTTTGACAGATAGATAATATCGTGGCACGTGCCACCGTATGCTCTTCTATGGGTATGTCCATACCTCAAGAACAACATTGTATCGTTCGTATAGTTAATTTATTATATTTTCTATCATTGTGATTTCAATTTTCTTTTAGATTCAACAATTACCATATATTTTTGGTTAGTTAGAAATCACACGTCCTTTGTATGAGGGCACTTTAGTCTTTTTTTTTCTCTTTTAATTTATCGACTCAGTAAAATCACCCAATCTGCTTAACATAAAAGAAGGAAAAAAACTAAAATATCCCTGTTCTAAAGATGTGTTTTTTCACTAAATGGAACAAAAAAAATGAAACATACAAACTATAAGAATAGAGCTGGCAACATAGTGGAGGATACTGGGTGTCATAATTGTGACCCTACTACGGAATCGTAGGCGCGGGAATGGGGGGAAACCTCAATCCCCGTCTCCGTCCCCGATTATTATCTCTATCCCCGTCCCTGTCCCCATCCTCGCTGGGGAATATAATCACATCCCCATCCCCAACGGGGCAACGAGGATTTTTTTTTCCCGTTTATATCAGTTATTTTAAATTAAATATGTAAGAGACCACACATGTTTAATCACTGAATCCCAACGTGAGATTGTTGGTGAATTATATGTTCCCTCCACCAAGGAATACGTCTTAGTGCGTATTTCCAGGTCGTTATTCTCCCAAGTCCTACAACTCCCGCCGAAAATGGATATTGGCATGAACGAATACGCCCCTCTCCCAACCGGGGATGAACTGGTGGCTTTCTTGAAGATGTTGGGGTACAACCAACAAATCCGGTACCCATCGCAATACCGTCGACAGTTCCTACCACCAATGTGGAACGTCCTTTTTCACATTGATAAATCGCTCGCTGAAGGGCAAAATTGGCAGCCTAGACATATGTTGCGCCAATATCCTGCAGATTGTGTACGGGATATTTTTTGACCTGTCCCTTAACTACTCTTTGATACTTTACACATAATTCAAGGCTGTGGTCGCCAAGAAGACCCTTGACGTATCCAAGGGAAAAGAATTGCCAACTCTGCTTTTCCCATGATTTCTAGGCCTTCTTCTAAGACCTTGTATTCAGGAGCAGAACATAGACGTCGCAGGCCTTCCTGTGCACAAGGTTCATGTACTCTCCACGTACAAGCCCACTGTGTTCAAGGATGGCTATTCCGCTGAGAGGCCCATTCCAACGAAGCTGATGGCCTACATGAAGACGAGGGAGGTAAGGAGGACATACAGACATGTACGCGAGGCGCTAGAACCAGTGCCTCGAACCCCGACATGCATAGGGACAACCCAAAAGGGTGAAGAGGCCAAAAGGCCTTTACCTGAGGGAGAGCAAGTGATGATGGAGAGGGAGAGGGATCAGAAGAGGAAGAGGCAGGAGGCAAAACAACAGAGGGAGAGGGAGGAAAAGAAAAGGAGAGAGAGCAAGGAAGGAGGAGGAAGAGAGGAGAATAAAAGAAGACGCTCTGCGTCAACTAGGACTATTTTCAAGTTTTGACGTAGAGGAATCCGAGGAAGAGAAAGAAGATAGTGAGGCTGAGAGCTCTTCCTCATCTGATAGTGAAGAGGGTGATGAGGGAGGAGTGGGGGCAGCTGCTTTGGCTCCGGAAGAGCTAGAGCAGCCTAGGACTTTAAATAGGCACACATATATTCCAAGCCCAACTCCCAGTGCAAGCACACAATCTGACGCTGTTGGTCGAGCAACAACAGTCATTGAACAAGAGGCGCACACCTCGAACCCTGACCAGCCTATCCAGCCAGAGGTCGCATCTGCCTCTAGCCAAGAAAGCCAAAGGGAAACCACAATGCAGGGCTCACCCTCTCAAAAGGGTGATACCTTTGAAAAAAATAAGTGGCATGTCTCCCCATGCCACGTCACTTGCCCATACAGAGGAATTCGTTTCCTCTGCACTAGACATTTCCCAACCTTGTTCAGAGTAAGGATTAGGTGCACACGGCTTGGAGACTCTCGACCGGTCTCTTAGTCCAATCATTGAGGGTTCCTTTGTAGACTCTGAATCTGCTGAGGAAATTCCTCTTGACATAACAGATGTAGTGACTTCTTCTCTAAGAGATACACGAGGATTGGCCGAAAATCCTTCCTCGATGAACATCAAACAAGTTGAGAAAGAAGGTGTCCGAGGAACACAGACTGAACCTGGCTCATGTGTTAAGCCAGAGGTTACCCATACAACGTATGTCACAAAGGATGAGTTCTAATCCTTTGCCACCGATGTGTTGTGCTCCTTGGAAGAGCTAAAACTCAACATGGCCCGTGCAGAGCCATCCCCTTCTGCATCTGCTTTGGATGAAGTTCGATCATCCTTAGCAACATTGAGAGCTGAGTCTTCAACGAATACTACTCGCCTTGAACACTTACAGGAGTTGACGACCATAAACGCAGAGACCCTGCAAAGGGTCCTTGCACACATTCAGAGAGATGTTGCGTCCACTTCAGCTCAAGATCAGACACTGCTCATTCCTCTGAGTGTCCCGGCGGATTACATCACCCAGATAGAGATAAGAGCTCTGGGTGATCGACTTCTTCAGAAGGTGTCAGACTACACCTCGGACTTCAACAACAAGGCAAAACAGGCAGTCATCGGCATGCGCCTCTCCTTGGAAACCTTCAAATTCAAGGCAGATGTGGAGATCATCAAGGCTACTAATGCTGCATCCGACATCGTCGAACTCTTCGACGCTAAGGTCAAAGCCATGCCTTCAGCCAATGAGCAGAAGCCCAAGA